CAGATTACTGTCTCCTTATGTTTCCTTTGGTAACCATGAATACTGTAACATAAGGACTGTTTTGTATATTGTTGTGCAGTGTACTATTTTGTTTATTGTTTTTGTAGTAGGTTGGAAATGCTACATGTTTAGTTTTCTATAAACAGACACCCCGCATTTTTTGTTATAATCTATTTTAATACTCTAGTCATAACATTAAGGTAATGCACTTACTCGTCAGTAGATTGTGCGCTGGGATTGCTCTGGATCAAGTAGGGAGACTGCAGCTACAAGCTCCCGAAAGGCGTTTTCATTTGGTATTTAACCGCAAGCTATATTTCAGAACATTTGTTAACAGATTATGCTTTAAATAAGAGTGGTAGGGACGTGTCCCCAGCGTCCCCAGTGTAAATGACACCTATGTTCCTTAGCTTGAATGTGAATGTAGGTATGTCAAAAAGATAGGGAAAATAGATTGTGATTACTCAGAGAGTTAACACTCTTATTTTATGGTTGAAATAACCTTGTGAGTACATAAAAGGACTAAATTGTTGTTTGCTTTTTTGTTTTCGTTCTCCTGTGGTTTGAGGAGTACACTCCGCTCATGCGCTACTCAGAAATAAATGAGCTCTGGCTTGAGCAAGACGCTAACTTTGGTCATCTCTCTATTAATCCACAAGTACAGTAAAACTTGTTTTTCTATGTTTTAGCTTGGATTAGTATGTAATTTGAATGCAGTATAAAAAGCTCTGTAGTGTCGAGATGTGTGTAAAGTGTAATGTGTTAAGTCAAGTAGAATGTCTGTTCAATTATTTTGATGTCATGAGTGGTTATTTTCCGTAAGATAGAATGCTTTATATATTGTATATTGTCATTTGTTGTTTATTTTGTGAAATGTTTAGTATTAGTTTAAGATGCACTTTAAGCTGAGATTTAAAGATAATGTGACTGGGACTGTATGTGATTGTAGTCAGAAATAAATGAGCTCTGGCTTGAGCAAGACGCTAACTTTGGTCGTCTCTCTATTAATCCACAGTGGCTACACAGTGCTTCCCAGCCTGTGTAACCTTTGCTGCTGGTCCAGATTACCCCTGGGTCTGGCGCCAGTAAAATTTTCATTATGTTGTCTAGTATATATTGACTTGCACTGACAGGACTACAGATATAAAATAGCCTTCTGGCTAAATCTGGCATGTTTACTTCCTTGACATTCATTGATGTGCACTGTCCCTTTTAAATCAATAAATTAGAATTTAAATTAAATTCTGAAATTTAACTTCAAGAGGAAAACTGGTGGAGACACAATGAGCATAAGAAATCGTGTGTGTGTGTGTGTGTGTGTGTGTGTCCTCAGTGAACTGTATCAGTCTCTGCAGTAGCTTCCAGCTGCAGCAGTCAGTTCAGTTTCTGTTCAGTCTGACTGAGGGAGGTTTTTGTATGATGCTTTTTCACTGTGTGAACACAGCTTGACTGTTGATAACATGAAGACTCTGACAGTAGTAAACTGCTGCATCTTCAGCCGGAACTCCACTGATGGTCAGAGTGAAGTCAGTCTCTGATCCACTGCCTGAAAAACGATCTGGAATCCCTGATTCTCGAGTGCTAGCAAAGTAAATGAGCAGTTTAGGAGCTTCTCCATCTCTTTTTTGGTACCAGGCTAATAAATCTCCATCAACCTCCTGACTGACCCTACAGCTGATGGAGACGGAGGCTCCCAGAGCAGAGCTCACTGCTCCAGGCTGAGTCACTGTGATCTGGCCTCTGGACTCTGAGGATACAGAGACAAACACATAAAGCAGCGTCATGGTTTTGTGGGCTTCATTTCAGAGGGACGGATGTTCATAGAGGAGAGGAGTTTGATTCTCTGGACTTTACCTGTGAAGCAGCAGCAGAGGAGAGTCCAGATGAGGACGGAGACCAAAGTCATGTTTTTGATGAGGAGGATTTCTGTGGCTTCTGTTGTCATGAAGGACAGCTGTCAGTCATCCAGTGTTCAACTCTCAGGACTATAAAGTCTCCCAGAGCACTGGAGCATGGTGCTGCTGATGCAAAGTGGCTCTCTATGGAAATGCTCTGACTGACTCCAACAGGGACTTGGATTACTCTGATGATGCTGCTTCTCAATGGATCAATACGTTTACCAGAGGATTGATTAGGAATGTGTCAGTGATCATTTTTATGGACATTTGCTTTGATGACTGCAGAAAGATTTTCTTTTACAACATCTTCTGTGTAAGCGCTGTGAGATAACTGTTGTTGTGATTTGGCGCTATATAAATAAAATTGAATTGAATTGAATTGAAATTGAATTCTGTCTGCTTTCATTTCATTCTAGAGGGATCAATTTGACTTTCAGACCAATGGAACAATATTTACGTAAAAATGGGATTCATTCTGAACAACTGTGTCACTGTTTGATAAATATAACATGAAATAGTTCATTCTTTTAAAAACAGGAAGTGTTTTTGTTGAGTTTGTTGTGTTCAAAGTCAGAGAGCCGTGTCTCTCTACAGTGAGAGGTTTTTGTACGACGACTCAATCAGTTTGTATCACTGTGGTACACGTTCGGTGGAGGAACCAGACTGGATGTTAACTGTAAGTACTTTTGACTTCTACATGAACTCAGATTTAATATTTTCTTTTTATATTGAATAAAAACAAGCTTTAGTTAAAGATGTTGGTTGATAGTTGAAATTGAATATTATTGCAGTGACCATTACTTCACTGTGATACAGATAAAATTCTGTCTGATGAAGAAACTCTTTAGTTACACTTAAAATGTTCATTTACACAGTTTGTACATTCTTATAATTTAGTTGTTTTTAAAAACTACAGTTAGTTATTAAAGAAAAAAATATTTTGATTCGTAATTTTGGCCTCATAAATAAAATTATGTGGAAAAACTTTCACTAAAAGAAAATATACTTAAATGATTTAAATGTAGTAATGTTAAAATTTCAGCTGAAGAAATCTATCATGCATTTATTTAGTGAGTGTTTTATCTGGAAACATTGAATGTGTTTTACTCAGTCTTCCTCCCAGACTGATGAATTTAAAGACATGTCACATCCTCACTATAACCAATGAATATCATAATATCACTGCAGTTAGTTTAATCACATGCTGTATTGGTAGAATATTTGTTTGATCTGGAAAAAGCATTTGTAGCACTTCATACTGTTTTCAGTAGTTCAGTCCGTCTGTTGTCGTGGTTCAGTAGTGATGTCTGCGTAAATGAAGAGAGCAAACACACACCGTCTCTGATGAGTTTGGATTTGAGCTGAAAAATCTGAAGAACAAATAAAAGTCTTTAATTGTTGAACTCTGAAGTTTAAGACGTTAATTCAGCTAAAGAAAGAGTTTCCCGCCCGAAACTTTATCTTCATGGTTCAGCAGTGATGCCTGTCTGTTGCCATGGTTACTGAGCTGAGAGAGGGAAGTGAAACCCTGAAGACCAGTTTCATCCAGTCTGAGGAAGACCAACAGAACCAGCAGCCTCCTCTGCTGCAACCGCCAGGGTGGAGTTTATTTTCTCTGTGCATGAACTTTCTTCATGTTATCTCTCTGTCTCCTCCTCCAGTGGGTGACGTCCGTCCCACCCTGACGGTGCTGCCCCCCTCCAGCGAGGAGCTGCAGCAGGGGAAGGCCACGCTCATGTGCCTGGCCAACAAGGGCTTCCCCTCAGACTGGAGTCTGGCCTGGAAGGTGGACGGCAGCAGCAGCAGCAGCAGCAGCAGCAGCTGGGAGGAGAGCAGGAGCCCCGGGGTGCTGCAGAAGGACGGCCACTACAGCTGGAGCAGCACCCTGAGGCTCTCTGCAGACCAGTGGAGGAAGGTGGGCTCTGTGACCTGTGAGGCCACCCAGGGCTCCCAGACTCCGCTCTCAGAGACACTGAGGAGAGACCAGTGTTCCCAGTCCTGACCTGACTCACTGGGACTCTGCTACTGGTTTTCCTCTGCTCCTGCTCTCACTCTGCACTGTGGAACTGTCTCTCTCTTTTATTTGACATCTTTCAACAGCAAGATTTACTAGCTTGTTGCACTGTTTCAATATTATTTCAGTGTTTCCAGATAATAAAGACCTTTTCATCCAATCAGCTGTTTTCATGTTTATTATTATCAAAGTGTCTTAATAAATGTTCTCTTGATGGTGTCAGTGACTGTTTCACATCCAGAAAAAATGGTGACAAGAATCTCCATGATGATTTTACAAATTATTAGTAAGACTGTGTAATGAAAAGACATAAATAATGTATACTGAAGAGTTTTTACACTCAAACAAAACTCCCCATTATATCTTTATCATTTTGTTAAAACCAGTAAAATCCAGTATTTGTTCCAATCAATTAAAATGCCTTCATGACTGTAAAACCTTTTTCTGTTATAATCATTACAGATTTGTATGCAATAATAAATCTTTGGAACAAAACCAATGGTAGGAAAATTTCAATGAAAAGCCATCCAATCATCTCTTATCACTGAATAACATTTGTTAAAGACTCTCTTTAATATGATAATAGTTTAGGTGTTTCCAAATAACATGTATTCTTCTTCAAATATAACTAGTATGAAAAATATTTTTTACATCTGAAATAAGTAGTGTATCATCAGCATTGTTACAAAATAAGTCATCTTCAAATGTAAAGCTGGAAATATTTACATACGGCTTCTGCTGAAGAGCTTAACCACAAGACAAATGAAAATAATGAAAAGGGGAAAGAATCAAAGTGTTACTGAATTACACTCCATAAATCATTTTTGGTTTCAACCATAAAATACACCAGTTGTGTCAGTCGTTTGAGATTCTCACTAAAACTCTGATGCATTACTTCTGATAACGTGGTCATGTTGCTCTCCGGTTCTGATTTGAGTTTGTGGAGGAGGAAGCTGTGGGGAATTTACATCTCCTGTAACATCGATCTTTGCGAAGCTCATAACTCATAATTTTGTCGACCTTGTCAGAAATGTGTAAATTCAGTCATTTGTTTATTACTGGTCAAGGTGCTGTTTTACATTATTTTTTGTAATACAGCTGTACCTAATAAAGTGGATACTGTATTTCTTAGCTTCATCAATAATGTCAAATGTTTTGGGTTAAAGAGTACATGAATATTTCAAAGTGTTTTACATGCAGATTTTTTGGTATTTCTTGAATGTGTTCAAAGACTCAGTATGTTTCCAACTATGTATCCTTCAGTTTCAAGTTTCTGCTTTAGAATTGTTGATTTCTTCTTGACTAATGCAGTATTCTCAGTGAGATTGAAAAAACAGGTAGCTTTAACAAATCAGTCAAAGATGAAACATTTTCTCCAGAATAAAAGATTTAGTGTTTTTGTGTCATGTCCTTATAAAACAGTTTTTTTCCTGATTGAAACTTTGCTTTAAATTGGAGTTTAAGTAAACTGTAGAAGTGTGATCATGTCTCATGAAGAAGTTTCAAATGTTTAGTTTCAGTGCAGCTGTTGAGTCAGATCAGTTCCTCTCCAGCTGAGGGAGGTTTTTGTACGACGTTGTATCACTGTGTGAACGGGAGGCTGCAACCCTGCTGACAGTAGTAAGCTCCTGAATCTTCAGCCTGAACTCCACTGATGGTCAGAGTGAAGTCAGTCCCAGATCCACTTCCACTAAAACGATCTGGAACTCCAGACTGACGGTTTGTAATTTGATAAATCAGGAGTTTAGGAGCTTCTCCAGGTTTCTGAAGGTACCAGTGCAGGAAGCTAGTACTACTAGTGGCTTTACTTTTGAGAGAGACAACCTGTCCTGGAACAGCAGACTGAGATCCAGGAGACTGAGTCAGGACGTTTTGTCCTGATGAACCTGGAAAAGATGAAAAAGAGGAGAAGGGTTATTGAGACAAATCCAGCTTGGAGAAAGATGATCAGCATCCAAACAGAAGAGTCTCATTTCTTTAAGATGGAGAACAGATGGAAGAAGGTAAATGCTGCTTGTTTCAGTGTTTCTCCATCACAGCAGAACATCATTGTGGTGAACCTGGTTGCATCCTGAAGCAAAGTTTTCAGAAGAGAGTCTCACCCTGAACAAGGAGCCCCAGGGTGGCCAGCAGTAGAATCAGTGACATCATCATTGTGCTGCCGGCGTGTCAGTGGCTCTGAAAGGCCTGGACAGCCACTGATCAACACTGGCCTCTTAACGGCTGGGAGCAGAGAGGCAGGACAGATATGCAAACACACAGAGTCAGTGAGCTGTAGCTGTCCTCAACATATCATGCTGTTTCCTCCTCACTGCTGGGACAGCTGCCTCACAAACAGGCTATATTTGTGACATGAAAAAACCAAATTAGAAGGTTTCAAATTGACCTCAAACTGTCTTTGGGTTGAATTCATACAGCAGAGGGAGGAGGATTCAGACTTAGACAGTCAGGGCACACAGGGACAGTTCAGTCATTTATAGATCAAAGTGAAGATGAAAAAGCTTCCTGGCAGGTTAGCGAGTCAGAACAGATGTAAGTGAGAATCCCCAGGTGATCAGGAATGTTGCAGTCCCTTCTTATGTATTTGTTGCCATTTAATTTCCCTTCTTCCCATAAATCTTGGCTGAATGTCAGCGTTCCTCTGGGTTGATTAAAGGATCATTCAGATCACCTGTTGCACAGGGTGTGGGGACTGACTCCTCAACAATGATTGAGAGCAGCTTGGTGATTCTCCTTTTAGTAAATCAGGGTGTGATGACGCCCATTCTTAAAGGCGCAAGAGAGGTGGGCAACTGCACACTCAGGGCTAGTGAAGTGCTGCAAGAACTGAAGCCTACATGTTGCTACCTGCCACTATGTATAAATTGTGTTTAAAAAAGTTTCCTTAATCATGAATATCTGCCGTGACAGCAAACTGTATGAAGGCAGTCTAAGCTACAATTCGTGCTTGATGACCAGCGGTGTCAAGCACATTAACTCAGAGTGTGCACGTTCAGTCAGTCAGTGTCGTCCCTCAGACAGCATCACGACCCAGAAGGTTATCCATGACTTACGGTTCACGTGTCATTCACGAGTTAAACATTTGCAAAAGTGGCTCGAAACGGTTGCCTGAACAATCTTACCTGCTGATCCCACAGCTGTTCACAACACCTCCCTTGACAAGGAGAGTGCATTTTAAACTGGCATAACACAGGTTAATTATAATCAATGCACGTAAAAGATGCAAATGATTTTTTTTTTTTTTAAACCTGTCCTGCCCAGCAGCCTGGTATAGAGTATAATGACCTGGATACCATATTGTGCCAGACAGATTTTACTTTAACAAGAGAGTATTAAAATACTCCTTTGTCTGTTTTATTATTTATTTAATTATGTATTAATTTGTCACCGGGCCGGACAGGGGGGCAGACACGGGGATGGGGGGGCACAAACAGACAGCACAGAGAAAGGACAACACCTGCAAGAGAAGGGGGAAACGGGGATGGAAATTGGGGACAACAGGGAAAAGCTGTGGGAAACACCAATTGCAGAAAGCAACGAAACCTGCAATAGAACAGAGAGGGGGGCTTGGGGAGGAGAAAAACAACAACAACAAACAAACACAAACAAAAAAATAATAATAATAGTAAAAGACAACCAGCCGAACAGCAGCAATAAACAGCTGACATATTAAGACAACTAAGAGAACAATGAAAACAAGAAACAGTCACACACACTAAATAAGCAACACAGCACAGCCACGAGAGCTGGAATAATAATTAATTTAAATAAGTAACTGAAAGAAAAGCATCAGGAATAATTCTACCAGGGACAACCTAAGTTTGTTTGTGTCTGTGTGCATGTGGGTGAATGTGTCTGTATGTGTGTGTGTGTGTGTGTACATGTGTGTGCGCATAAGCCTGTTAAAGAATGTAGTTGTTAGAGAGAGTGGGACGCCACGACTGTAACAGGCAGGCAAGAACCCCAGTAGCCAATAGGGGTGGAAGAAAAAAAGAATAAATCAAATAAAAAAAAAAAACAAAGACTCCCAGACGCACCGCGATGCAAACGCAGAAGACCCCGACCCAAATGCCAGTTGACAACGTAATGCCGACGGAAAGCAAAAGAGGAAGAGCAGCGCTCGGACTGACCGCAGCGCGCACACAACATAGACCAGTGGCCCCCCCCATCCAGCACCCCACCGCCGCGCAGCAAACAACCAAAATGCCCAAATGCCACGCAATCATCAACACCAATGCACAAGTGACGAGCCCAACGCGCACATCCAAGATCATTGAGAAGGTAGTCTGCGAACAGTTGACATTTTACCTGGATAATAGTAACATCCATGAGCCATTCCAGTCAGGTTTTCGTAAACAACACTCTACCGAAACGGCCTTACTGAAAGTGTCAAATGACATTATGATGTCTGCTGATTCTGGAAAACACACTGTTCTAGTTCTCTTGGATCTGTCTTCCGCCTTTGACACCGTCGACCATCAGGTTTTGCTGGAAAGATTAAGGGATCAAGTAGGGCTGTCAGGGTCAGTTCTGCAGTGGTTCACCTCATATTTATCTGGGCGTAGTTTTAGTGTTACAGCAAACCAAATAAGGTCTGAGTCTGCAGACTTGCTTTGTGGAGTGCCTCAAGGCTCTGTTCTGGGCCCCGTTTTATTTTTGTTGTATTTGATCCCTTTGGGAAAGATCATACAAAGGTTCAATGATGTTTCTTTTCATCTATTTGCTGATGATATCCAACTTTACTGCTGCTTCAAGCCGTCAGAGATCTGGAAGTTAAACTCCTTGCTCCATTGTCTTGTGGAAATTAAAAAATGGCTAAGTGAAAACTCCCTGCAGCTAAATGCAGACAAAACAGAAACATTAATCATTGCCCCTGAGGATGCAATTCCAGGAATTAAACAATACTTGGGTGATTTAGGCCAGTCTGCTAAGCAAAGTCTTAGAAATTTGGGAGTTGTCCTGGACAAAGACATGTCGTTAGTGCAGCACTGCAAGCAGCTGACGAGAAACTGCTTCTTTCAATTAAGGAAAATCTCAAAACTTAGAAATATAGTTTCAAGAAATGATTTGGAGCTAATCATTCACGCCTTTGTGTCGTCGCGGTTAGACTATTGTAATAGTTTATTTTTATGCCTAAACCAGAAGGAGCTCTCTCGACTGCAATTAGTACAAAACTCTGCAGCCAGAATTTTAACACGTACTAATAGGAGGTCTCACATATCACCAATCCTAAAAGAACTTCATTGGCTACCAGTGTCTTATAGGATAAATTTTAAAATTTTGGTTTTAGTTTTCAGAGCTTTACATGGCCAGGCTCCACCCTATATTAGTGACCTGATTCAGCGTTATACCCCTGTGCGTGCTCTGAGGTCTGTGGATCAGAACCTGCTGACGGTTCCACGCACTCGCTACCGTACTAGAGGTGACCGATCTTTTCAGGCTGTTGCCCCTAGGTTGTGGAATGACCTTCCACCATCTATGCGCTCTTCTGATTCTGTTGATGCCTTCAAATGCAGACTAAAGACACATTTATTTGTTCAGGCTTTCAATTAGCTACTTGTGGGTTGATATGATCATGTACTGTCTATGCTTTTATTGTGTGTATTTTATGATATTAATGTTTTTGTTGTGAAGCACTTTGTGGCCCTATACCTGTGAAAGGTGCTATAGAAATAAACTTTTACTTACTTACTTACACTGCGCGAGCACGGCGACACCCATGCCCAGCAGCCCCCCCGCGAATCCCGCGTGCGAGGTCGGACAAATGAGAGAGAGCAAACGGAACAACACGACAGCGAAAGCCAGAGGAGAGAAACACCAGCAGCAAGTCCCAGCCCGACAGCAAACGTGCCGCACAGGTCACCGTGCACCCGCCAATAAAAGTCCACCGTCCCCCCAACCGCCGGAAAAAACTAAGGCTGCTGGCGCCAGCCGACATCCCCTATGCCCAGCGCGCCCCCCCGGCCGCCATGCAACACCAACCAAACCAGCAACGAGGCAAAATCAACTAGCTCAGCTGCAGGCCACCAACAACCCACCCACCCATAATGGGCCGAGAACTCCAGGCACAAACCCAGAACAAACCGGAGCACAGCCCTGCCCCGCACCCACACTGCACATCCCGAAAACTAACTATATACCTCAGTATCCAGAGGGGTCCAACAACTGGCCGAATGGGCAAGCACGGATCCGAGGCCAACGAAGCAAAACAGGAACGCAAACAGGTCCCTCCAAGCCAACGAGGAGATGCCTCCCCCGGACTCCAATGCACAAACTAAACGCCCAGCAGCCATTCAGAGACCCTGCCCAGGGAAAAAGTATAATGCATCAAGATGCATCGACAATCGCCCCACAATCCCACCGCAGCCCACCAAACCGCAATTGGTGATTACAAATGATTTTAGTATAAAGCCATAGTGACTTCAGCTACGCACAGTACAAGACATAACATAAGATGTAACATTATTAAATAAATTTCAGTCGACACAGCAGCACAAAGGTATATAAACGAACAGAAACAGTATTATAGAACTATCAACACACTATTTACACTATACAATCAATAATGATCACTTACAGACATGCAGCAGAGTGGACAGGTAAATGTTGTGCTTTTCTTATCACTTTGATACCAATGAAAAATATGGATTAATGGGGTATTTAACTAACTGTTGACGTTCAAAGTAGGCTAATTAGCTTCTGTATGGACGGCCTCACTAATGTCACATTTTGCCTCATTAAATGTGCTTGTCTGTATCAGGAATATGCTCTTCTATAAAAGTATGTTTTAAGAAAAGAGTTCTCTGACGCTGGACAGTTATCACTGTGTACCGTTATAGCCAATACATTTGATGTCATTAGAAGGAAAACTGTAAAACAGCGGGGAGGCGACGAATGGTTAAAACGTTTAAACAAAATCCAACAGATGATCCTGGGAAAAAGGATCGGTTGACAGCTGGAGGTCGGAAAAGAGGAGAACTAAAAAGAATGGAGAAGCTGAAGAAAACAGCGGGTAGGCACAACTATGTTGAGAATGGGCCAGCGTGGGGAGATTCTGACATAGCCGATAGTGACGGAAGCATGGAGATAAGTCAAGATGGTGGGAAAATGAGGGACAAAGAGAAAATACTTTTGCTGGGACCAGTACAAAGAGG